ACAAGATTTTTAATGTTGAGAAAAGCTTTCTAACTCCCCATCAGGGACAAGAGAGTTTTTGACTGGCTGTGATCTGTAGAGGGTTATCAGGGACAGAAGAGAAAGACACCTCTAGTTCTAGCTTTTAGAAATGACTTGTATTTTTGTGAGCTATCCAAGTGGCCTTCAAATGCAGCTTCTCATGAGTGGGTGTCAGATGACTGTTTAAAACTAGCATGAAATACTGAGATAAGCACTCAGAGAAAGCCCTACAGTTCATCTCTGTGCACAATGGCCCTTTCCTAGTCACCCTTCTGGAATGTTCACTTAAGCCCATGGGTCAAAGTCATCTTGAAATAACATGTCCACATTATCTTCAAAATTAAAGTGTTCATGTGGCAACTGCTCCCTGATGAACTCAGCTGCCCAGCTGCCTCAGAAGTGACCCTGGATGTTAGGAGGGGGCGCTGCTTTCTCTTCCAAGGAGAAGAGACCTAGTACTCCAACAAGACAGTCCCTTTACACAGTGGTCAAGCCATGATCCAGAGCTCTCTGGATGATTCCCTCCCTGTGCCTAGACTCAGGTGCCTCTGGGTAGGGAGTACTTGCTGACCCAAGCTGTCCCCTGGTTTGTCCACAGCCAAGATGAACCCCAGCATGGTCTGCACACATGCTAGAGAGCAACTGACAGTGGGGCTGCCTAGTGGTTATACGAACTCAGAGAAACCACAAGACACGGCTGCAATACACACAGCCATCCTCAAATTCTGGTTGCTTTCCAGCATGAACAAGTGTTAAAAATCTACACATCGTAACTTAGGGAAGACCCAGCTATGTATCATTTTATAGTTAACATAGACTATTCTCACCAACTGTTGTTGAGGAATCCGAACGAGACACACATCAACACAAAACCTATCTGTCAAGCTGAAAAGCCTCAAGTGCTCAGGACACTCACCATAGCTAACTGTCGTCCTATGTTTCCCACTGTGACGCCTCCTGAGAAAAATATACACGGGAGCCAGGAGCGGATATAGAGGAAATCTGGGGACGTGTACCTAGGAAGGAAACAAGACAGTTTCAGCCACCCAGCAGCCTGGGGTCCAGGATTCCCGTGATGTGGGTGTAGGAGACATTTGTGAGCTACAGTTAACATCAAATGTCAGTGTCTAAAAGACATGTTTTATGGCCACCAGACTTTACTTTCACCAAGTTATGGATAGTGAGTTTTTATTATGAGCCAAGAAAAAGCATTTTGAGATTTCCATGTTATTTTGCATAAAAGTCAAATAACATCCAAAACATCTACACTTAACAGGTAGGTGTTGTTACAAAAGCAAAGCAACACTTACTGGTAGACACCGTTATACACAAGAAACTGAGTGATCAGCGTAGCTAGGAAGGCAATGGTGATCCCAAGCCCAAGGCCGCTTCGGGAGCGATCGAACGTCCACCACAGGCCCAAAGACAGGGCTGCTAAAGTCAAGGACAGTTGGACATTATTGGCAAAATCCAATTTCTAGAGATCCAAAAGTTAAGGAAAAGTTTCCTAATTTATCATATGAAAAAAAAACTAAACCCCAGAATTACTCACAGGCCACATCATTATACAGTAACTTATTGCTTGTAATGAGGGCACATGAACAAACCTGAGATCCTCCCCCCCGCCCACATCCCCTGGGAGTACCACATCCAGAGTAATAATAGTAAACTTTCTGAAAGCTGTGAGCCTCTCCTGGCATTTGGTCATAAGCAATGCAGTTTTGCTAAGATACTGTCTCTACCCTGCCCTCTTACTTTTCAGTGGAAACAAGCTGGCACTACCCCCATGTCGTCTCTGTGCCACCCCAGGCAGAAGTAAGTCTGTCAGTTTATTAATTCAGTGCCTGTCAATCAGCACTATCAGAACTAACTTGTGAATCATTTGAGTAAGGAAAGAGCTCCCCTGAAGTTGGTGTACAATCTTTTACTCTAAGTTGCTCTAGAAACGTAGGATTTGAAGGGTTTGCCATCAAATCAACCCTTTTCACAGAAAATGCATATTGCACAAACACACAAGACATTGCATGAAGGGAGTGTGTCAGCTTTGGACACTAGAAGGCCAGGGGCCACCTGACCAGCCTTGGTCTTGACTGAGCAAGGCTCTCACTAATTCTCTATCACAGGAACAAGCATGTCAGTGGGGGAGAAGCTAAGAGGGATAAAGTCCATTGAGAGCCACAGTAACTGAGGGGCAGAGTATATTCACTTCTGGTGTTAGCTCAAGTGTCCTAAGATGAGTAAAAGGCCCCAGAAACTGGACCCCAGAATTCCTCTAAAGCACAGGGATGAGGCAATGAGCACCAATTCTTGGTCACAGTAACAATATACCCTGCCACACCCAGATGACACCCTGGACACAGACACCAGCTGAGGATACGGCACTGGCATGGTTGATGCCAACGAACACGGCGATACAGCGCATGACGCTGGCCCACTCTCTCTTGAACTTGTGTGGTTCTCCCAGGTGACTGTCAATACAGGGGTACAGGAGGCCGACAACAGCTATTTGAAGAAAAACAAAAACAGGATTAGAACACACTGGCTAAAATTAGTCCTTGTATGGTCGTTATTAATAGGGTCCAAACCACTTCTTTTCCTAGGCAGTCTGTCACCTGTAGACAAAGCACCTGTAGGAAAAGACTGTGGCAAGGCTACCTCATATTGCTTTCTCTCGGCCCTGACCTGGGCCCAGCGGGACAAGTCGCATACTGTGGGAAGGGCAGGGACTCAGGAAGGGAGAGCGCTGCTGTCGGTCCCAGGCCGCTCGGGTGGATGTGCCGCCTCCTGTTTGTTTCCTCATGTGTGAAATGAGGATTATGTAAGTAACGTGGAGGGCAGAGAAGGAACCGTCACAGACACAGACAACTAAACATTTGGACAGAGAGCAGCAAGCTGGGCACTCCAGAAAGAGACCCAGAGAGTCAAAACCAGGAAGGAAGGGGTGTCTGCAGTACAAGAGGCAGAGCCCCCATGGGACACAAGGTACATGTGAGTTGCAGCTAAGTTCAAGACCTCAGGCCTTGTCAGTGATGAGAAAGATGCCGTTCAGCCACACGTTCAGATAAGGAGAGAAACCGTCCCAGGTATTCCTCCAAACTTCCATGACAAACTATGTTCCATATATGCAAAAAAAACAGAATATCAACTCTAATCTTATTCCCCAAAGAACTATTAAGTGCTGGGGTAATAGCTCAGTGGCATGTATGAGGCCACCCCCCAGCCCCAAATAAACAAGAATATTCAGCCAGTAGAGCCCCAAAGTGGTAGAGTGCTTTGAAAATAAAGATGACAACTTTCTCCCAATGGGTACATCAGCCTTCCTGGAAGAAGCAGACAGCTGTCACAGGGCTGGACCCCATAATGCTGCAGGTGAGCCTGAGAGCACTTGGGAATCAACAGCAAGTACTCTGCCTATTACCTTTAACCCATGACTCAGCCACAGCCTAGCACAGAAGGCCAGCATATAAAGCACAGGCAGGCAGTCAATAAAAGCTGACTTCAAAGCAGGCAGGAGCTGCTCCTGGTGTCCTGTGGCCCCAGGCACAGGTGTGCCTCACCAGACTGGAGGAAAGGTGCACCAGAAATTATGCTGACCACCTACACAGGCCAAAGACAAGCAAGGCTGGGAGGAGGGTGGGATGGGCAGAAACACCTGACAATGTTTTTCAAATACGTGATGTGCATTGAGGGATATGCAGGGATCTATTGGGCTGTGACCATTCAACTTTTTTTTTTTTTTTGTAAAACCAGAAAAATGAAAAAAAAAAAAAAAGACTGTGTCACATTGTCACAAATTTCATTGGGCCTGAGAGGTGACGCCATACGGTGTGCTCAGGCCCGAGGGTTCCTCCTTTACTCCTGTCCCAAGTCGACTGGGCCACGGAGTTCCAGAGGGCTTGGCTGCCAGCCACAAAGCGCTCACT